AGGCAGGGGAAAATATTTCATTCGTAATAATATAATTTACAAAACTATATAGTTTAAATATAGATATGTATGTATGTATTTTTGGAAGTTAACTTACTGTTTAGTATTGAAGAATTTATAAAAAAATATAATCACAATGGTCCAAACTAAAATGGCACAAACCATCAATTGCCATGACATGGAAAATTCAACATCATTTATTGATATCTGATATATATCATTAAAAAGTGATCTGTGAAATACAAAACATAGAAAGAAGACTTTTTTAAAATATGTAATATAAGAAACATATGGAGTCCAAATTAAAAAAATCGAAAAGTCGAACAAGTAAGATAGTGGTCGAAAGTATAATGTTAGACTACATTCGTGTAAGATTTAAGCTTTCATAACTTACTTAAAATACAAAACTGAAGGTATATGATAATTAAGATAAATATATTCATCAGGATAAGAAGCCATTGTCTCGTTTTTTCCAGGTAAATCGCAAATCTAGAAATAAAGATATATTAACAATATTTAAACATTAAAATGAAGTCAAATTACGATTTTATCTTACAGTTGTCTCATCATCTATGGCCCATTTCTTGTAACCTTCGCAGCTCCAGGGTAATGTTGGCTGCAAGGAGCCAAACATGTAGACTAGAGGTATCACAGCGTAATTACTATAAAATGAAAGTACACAAATATTTAGGGCCAGCGTAATATAACCAATACCTAAGAATAATAAGATTAAATTTTTAATTTAAAACATATTTATTAGTTTTTTTGACTAAATGACACAAACCTTTAAAAAGAGGAGTTACACGGAAAGCAGAGATGAAACCACTACTTGAAAATTGACCCAAAAATGATTGTATTACAATAAATGGTATATAGATGAATAAAGCGATTAGGTAAACAATAAAAAAGGAAATAACTGGAAGAAATAAATGATAAATAAATTTACATATAAATAAATAGCATTACCCGGTGTGCTTCGCTTTCAAGTGGGTGAGGTGCCACGCCCACATACAAAATAGGTAGTAGCTGTAGTGGGCTTAGCACCTCCCAAACAAAGAAAATCTTAAATTAGTATATCTTAAAAAAAAACCAGTTCGAGTTCTCAAGTTTTGTCGGAACCACTTTAGTGTCACAATGAGTATTTATGGAAAAATGGGTGGACTTGTAATAGGGGACGTGGCACCTCCTTCTACCTAACATTTTTTTATATGGGAAATATTGCAGCTAATATCTTCAAATTTAGCAGAAAGAACTTTAACATCCATGTCAAAATTTGGTGGTAAAATGAACTGACGTCCCTTGGGGTTGTGTCTTGTCATATGAATTAAATACAATATTTCGTATACCTGAAAAACTATTGGAGCTAAACTCCTAAAATTTTGTACTAACAACTTTAACATTAATGTCCATGTGAAAATTTGGCTAATAAATTGGCAGACTAGGAAGAGGGGCGTGGCACCATATGAATTAAATTCGAAAATTTTGTAAAAAATTGGCGTACTTTCATTAGGAGGACTTAAAACTCTCATATAAATTAAATTAATATATCTGAAAGGGGGCTTGGCGCCACCCATATGAATTAAATAAAAAAATGCATATGTTTTGAAAACTATTAGAGCTAGAATGTTCAAATATGTTAATAGGCTTCATTAAAATCCAAAATAACGTTTTAAAAAAATTGTCGAACTAGCAATGGTTGGCGTTAACTCTTATAGATTTTCATTCCATCAGGATTCTCTATGTCTGATTTTATGTTTCTAGTTTTAATATTGCAGGAAAATTTTCAAAAAGTGTTTAATTTTATATTCCTAGATTCAATATTATAAAAGATTTCAAAAGTACCAATTTTTTATTAAAAAATAACTCCTTATTTGTAAGTACTTATTTAAGTAGTTATTAGAAAGCGAGCGTAGTAAGTACTTACCTTCAATGTCAACACCATGTTAAAACAAGTGAGAGTGTTATATTCGGCAATGCCGAATCTCATATACCCACCATCAAACCGTATGCCCTAAAAGGAATGCTCCCCTAAAAACATCAACGTGATATTTGGAATATGGCTTAAGTCAATTATGGACCAAGCTCTTTTGAACTAACAAAATATTAATTGTTAAAAACAAAATATTTTTGTTAAATTTTTAAACCGTGATGGTAAGAGTAATTTTCTAAAGAGGACCTTATATGCGTCAATTATGAACCGATACTCAAAAAATTTTGTACATACATAGATTTTGTTTTGTATAGAACTCATTTATGTCAAATTTCATAGCTATACTAGTTTTAAATAAGGAAAATTCGTATTTTAATAACCAAAACTCCTTTCTGAAGGGAACCTTTTATAGGGGCTAGGGTTAATTATAGAACAGTCCTCATTAAATTCGGAATGAAGAATTATGTTTCTAAGGGCAGTGTCACACGTTCAATATATATCGTGATATTTGCTGTATTGTGATATGTATTGAACGTGTAGCATGTAATATTGACGGATCGTGTTCCATATCACAGAAAACCCCAATTTTCTGAAATCCAAAATTTGTATCAATATTTATAATGGATCACGTGATAAATATTGGACGTGTAGCATGTTTTGTGATATCAATCACGATACATTTGTAAAATTCGGAAAAATAAATAAAATAAAAAAAACAAAGTTAAATATTTTTTTTAATGTTAATAAAAAATATAAAAGATAATAAATTTTTTCTAAATTTGTATGAATTTGGAGTTTTCGCAGCATTCTTGTTATCATCGTACGACCCGTGTAGCACGAAATAATGAAAATACTGACGCGATAAATATTGAACGTGTAGCATACCGAGGTATTCATCAAACTATTAAAATGGGTCGTGATTCATATTGATCAATATATATTGAACGTGTGCCAGTGCCCTAAGTATACATTTTTTGAGTCGATTTTCTGAATCCTAATCTAAAGAGGACCTTATATAAGGGGTATGGTCAATTATTGATCTATCCTCATAACTTTTTGTAGACCGATTTTTGTTCATATACAACTTGTTTACATTGAATATCATGGATGTACTCGCATTTTTATGCCAGTAATTAGCGTTAATGTAATTTTCTAAAGGGGCTTATATGCGGGGTAGGGAGAATTACCGCCACATTCCGCATGTTCGTATAAAATTTTCTTATGTCGAATTCCATAACCGTATTTCATAACTCGTATTTTTAAGCCAGCAATGATCGCTTAAGTAATTATCTGAAGGGGACCTTATATGGGGGTAGGGTCAATTATCGATCGATCCACCTACAATTTGTTAGAGAGACTTTGGCTCGCGAAGAACTTACTTGTGTAACAGTAATGAGCGTTAAAGTCATTTTCTGAAGGGGACCTTTTATGTGAATTATGGACCGATCCTCACTAAATTTGGTAGAGATATTTTGGATCCCATAAAACTTATGTGTGTCAAATTTAGTTTCATTCAGTCATTTTCAGAGGGGGGCCTTATATGGGGGTAGGGTTATTTTTAGGCCCATCCTAAACAAATTTGTAGAAAGGATTAGCTTATAAGAAACTAACGTGTTGTCGCATTACATTGGCCTTGCCCGTATTTTTAAGCCAGTAATGAGGGTTAAAGCCATATTCTGAAGGGAACCTCATATGTATGTGAGGTAGGGTCAATTATGGACCGATCCACACAAAAGTTTTAGAGAGATTTTGGCTCGCGAGGAACTTAATTGTGTAAATTTTATTGCTATATTCGTACTTTTATGCCAGTAATGAGCGCTAAATTCATTTTCTGAAGGGGACCTTGTATGGGCGGTAGGGTCAATGATGAACCGATCCTCACTAAATTTGGTAGAGAGATTTTGGCTCGCATAAAACTTATGTGTGTTGAATTTCGTCACTATATTCATATTTTAAGCCATTAATGAGCATCAAAGTAATTTTCAGACAGGGACCTTATATGGGGGGTAGGGTCATTTATGGGCCGATCCTTAAAAAAAGTAAATAGAGAGGTTTTGGTCCGTAAGAAACTTACTTATGTATTTCATCGCTATACTCGAATGTTTAGGCCAGTAATGAGTGTTAAAGTCATTTTCTGAAGGGGACCTTATATGGGGGATAGGGTCAATTATGGACCGATCCACATAAAAGTTGGTAGAAAGATTTTATCTCATATGAAACTTATTTATGTCGAATTTCATAGCTATACTCGTACTTATAAAACAGTTTTGGAGGTCCACTTGTATGGTGGCTATCCGAAAACGTGGACAGATATTGCTCATTTTCAATACCAAACAAACGTTAGCAATAGAGAATATTTATGTAAAATTTCAACTGTCTAGCTCCTCCCGCGTAGGCCCTATCGTGATTTCAACAGACAGACGGACGGACATGGCTAGATCGTCTTAGAATTTTTGATGGTGGGTATAAAAAGCACCCAGGATATATTACTTTTGTGGGTCTATGACCAATATTTTGATGTGTTACAAACCATCCTTTTTGACGGTGGATATAAAAAAGATTTAAAATGTTAATGAAGAAGTAGTGAAAAGCTTTTAACTAATTACTTTTTAATGTAAATTATTGCTGGGTACATAAGTATGTATATTTAATACTGATGAAGTCATACAAAAACAAATCAAACAATCAGACTCTGTTATGAGTCCATATTAATTAATATTTTTAGGCATGTACTTCTTATGTACATACATATGTATGTACATATTTAAATTAAATAGCGTCAATACCATAGAAAAATAAATAGAACTGAAACTGAGAATAAGAAATATTACTCTCTCACATGTACAGGTTCTGTGTGAATTTAATACAATTGTATGAGTATTTTTATTTCTGTTTACATAAAATAACAAAAATATGAAAGTACAAAATGTATCCGAATACATCATACCCTACCACATTGCGAGTAAGTAGCAATAAGTTATTTAGTATTTTTTAATGTAGAAGTTATATTCAAGAGATTGATGTTTGCTTAATTAATGAATGTACTACTCATTATAACAATATATAGTCAAAATTTCGTATATATAAAATTTGTTGAGTCGAATTTTATAAATACCCTATTCTTGTATAGCATGTACCGCTTACAAAAAAGTTCAATAGGCTTATTTATGGGCGGATTACATCATTACATCGACGCAGGTGTTACAAACTTTAAGACGTAAACAAAATACCGTTCCCATTAGTGTGGTGTAGGGTGTATTTTGACTGCATTTGGGCTGCTTTGAAATTAACAATAATCGTTCATATCAAGCGTTAATTTTAGCATTAGCACAATTCCTTTGGCAAAATAGCCCCTGCTGCTGCAATAAACACTGCTAAAAGTTATGTTTTCCCATAAAATTATTGAAAACATTTTCAGAAAAAAAACAAATTTTTCAATCGTTTTTATTTTTTTAATATTATTTTCAAGTGTCAATATTGACTCAACCCAGCAACCACAAAGAGTTTATTTAAAATTAAAAATAATTTTTAATGAAGATCTTTCTTACATTGGTCAACTGATATTGAATAAAAATGGCTAATTCAAACCATTATTTCATAAAATATCGAAATATAATATCAAACAAAAATATAAAAACTTTTTAAACGAAAGAGTTTGTGTTTGTTGGGTTACATATTTTTCAACTAATACATTCTCACGACTTAGGTTTTTGACAGCAGACTTAGGTTTTGTCATACTCAGTTTCAGTTCTATGTATACCTTTTCTATGTATACATAGAACTGAAACTGAGTATGACAAAACCTAAGTCTGCTGTCAAAAACTTCTATGTATACATAGAACTGAAACTGAGTATGACAAAACCTAAGTCTGCTGTCAAAAACCTAAGTCGTGAGAATGTATTAGTTGAAAAATATGTAACCCAACAAACACAAACTCTTTCGTTTAAAAAGTTTTTATATTTTTGTTTGATATTATATTTCGATATTTTATGAAATAATGGTTTGAATTAGCCATTTTTATTCAATATCAGTTGACCAATGTAAGAAAGATCTTCATTAAAAATTATTTTTAATTTTAAATAAACTCTTTGTGGTTGCTGGGTTGAGTCAATATTGACACTTGAAAATAATATTAAAAAATAAAAACGATTGAAAAATTTGTTTTTTTTCTGAAAATGTTTTCAATAATTTTATGGGAAAACATAACTTTTAGCAGTGTTTATTGCAGCAGCAGGGGCTATTTTGCCAAAGGAATTGTGCTAATGCTAAAATTAACGCTTGATATGAACGATTATTGTTAATTTCGAAGCAGCCCAAATGCAGTCAAAATACACCCTACACCACACTAATGGGAACGGTATTTTGTTTACGTCTTAAGGTTTGTAACACCTGCGTCGATGTAATCATGTAATCCGCCCATAAATTAGCCTATTGAACTTTTTTGTAAGCGGTACATGCTATACAAGAATAGGGTATTTATAAAATTCGACTCAACAAATTTTATATATACGAAATTTTGACTATATATTGTTATAATGAGTAGTACATTCATTAATTAAGCAAACATCAATCTCTTGAATATAACTTCTACATTAAAAAATACTAAATAACTTATTGCTACTTACTCGCAATGTGGTAGGGTATAATGTATTCGGATACATTTTGTACTTTCATATTTTTGTTATTTATGTAAACAAAAATAAAAATACTCATACAATTGTATTAAATTCACACAGAACCTGTACATGTGAGAGAGTAATATTTCTTATTCTCAGTTTCAGTTCTATTTATTTTTCTATGTATGTATACCTTTTCTATGGTCAATACAAATTAGAAATTGAATAATTATTTTTTTCGGAAGAAATTGTTGATATAAAATATTCAGAATATTTAAATGATTCCCCAGCATAAGCTTATAATGAAACGAAATGAGTTAGAAAGGTAAAAAGTTCGTTTTTCACTACTGCTTCATTAGCATTTTAACTCATTATTTTGACATTGGAGGCAAGTACTTACCACGTTTGCTTACAAATAACTATATAAATAAGTACTTACAAATAAGTAGTTAAAAATTGATCACACAGAATAAAAACGTGGACGTCTTGTTCGTTAGTCCGCTGTCATACTCGCAACACCATTGCTTAGTTAGACTCAAAATAAAGTACTTACTTATTTGATTATGTGTAAGTCATTATAAGAGTATTTAAAAGTAATGCAGACGGTATGGAAAGTAAATGGTTATGTAAGTACAAGTCTGGGGATAATATATTATTTAATTTACCATTAACTTACTATTTGAATCCAATATATAGAACCAAGGCAGTGAAAACATATCCAATCGAAAGGCCAAACCCAGACCAGCATAAATAAAATCATTTGGATTAACCCAATAACCACGATTAGTATCGGGTTTGAATGGACTACAGCCACTTTCGTATAGCATTTTTGAGTGAAGAAATTTATTTTTCACGATTTTAGTTTTTTTTCTAAGTTTTTAGAAAACAACATCCTATTCAATGACACCAAATTAAATATTATGGATATAAATTATTTTTTAATTATTTGTTTCTTTTTTATTATTTTTTTTTCTTTTTAGCCTATTTGGTTCTAATTAGTTGAGGCATCGACGAACGACTGATGAGCAGAAATGAAAAAAATATTTTTAAAAATAATTCCGCTATGCCGTATGAATACTAATGACGATATAAGAAAACAAGTAAGAAAGTATTGTCGGGCGTGGCCGACCATGTGATACTCTACACTAGTTATGAATATAAATGTGATTTATTTTACATAATAAAGTATTTATCTTCAATAAAACCTTGTTTTCGATACATTTAAGCAATTTATGGACGAAAAACTAATTTTCTGAAAGAGAGTTTATATGGGGGCTTGGGCCAAATATGAAACGATCTCGATAAAATTTTGTATATATAGATTTATATTTATATAATATTTATTTTGTGTTGGATTTCATCGCGATATTATGTGAATTTTTGACATTCAAGTCATTTTCTGAAGGGGACATTGTATGGGAGCTTGGGTCAAATTAGGCCCGATATCAGACGGACGTAGCTTAATCGACCCATAAAATGATTCTAAGCCATTTGGTATACTTTAAGGTGGGTATAGGACGAATATTTTTATGTGTAACGAACATCAGCACAAACCCAATAAAGTGGTGTAGGGTATAAATACACTACTTTTACATTTACATATATGTATGTTAGACCGACTCACAAAAATGGTGTTTGAGTTACTCTTCTGAAAATATTCGTTGTTATGTCATATGACATAAACGAAAATATTATGTTTTTAGTGTTGTAAGTACTTATTGAAGTAGTGATTTGTAAGCGAGCGTGGTATATACTTGCCTACAATGTCATCAACGTGTTAAAATAATTAGTTAAAATGCTGATGAATAAATAATGAAGTAATTTTTTAGCTTTTTAATTTTCAATGTAATTTTTTGCTGGGAATATAAATTGACAAGCAAATTCTTAAATATTTTTATTGGATAAATTTTTTTATATTGGCGATGTATTATAGTCGGTAATATCTTTTTGTTCAAGAATTATACTATCATTAGAAATTACAACATCTTCATAACGTTCACGGTCCTCTAGTTCAACGGGATACCAATTATTTGATCTACCAACATCACTTTGACACACATAATAAACGGCATAGATCGGTATTAAAACTATTGGAATAATAATAAAGATTAAGGCGAAAATTGCAATAAACTGATTTGATAAATAGTGGGTAACGCAGGCCTCGAAAAAGAAATATATCTGAAAAAAAAAAACATTGATAAAATAGAAACTTTGGCACTTGTATTAATTTTAGAGCTTACCAGAATAATCAACAAAGCCAATGGTACTACAAATCGGAGAGCATTAATTTGCCACGTGGAAAAATGTGAATTTGTCATAAACTTCATATCACGCTGAAGACGTTCACGTCCATAAATCCATAGTACAATCAGTATTAACAATAAATTAAGGATGGTATGTGTAAAATATGTATCGATTAAAATAGCAACAAAATTTCGAAAGCCAATCTATTAGAAGGTATGGAGGTATTAAACAAGATTCTCCGATTAATATATTATACATACATATGAAGTGAAATATAGAGAAATCGGTGCTGTGGCGGCTATGAGGCATGTTCCCATTAATACTTTGCACTTTCTCAAAGCAGCAAATTCATCGAAAACTGTAGTCAAAATTGTATACAATTCCATGATCTAGAAAAAGGGGGTTTAAAAGAAAATACATATCTTCTGAAACAGGTTTTTGAGAAAGAACTTGTGAAAGGTTTCTTACGATTGTTAGCATGGCAGATAAAAACAGCATAAAATAATATAATATTGACCATAAATTGGCCCATGCCATATCGGTCATGGCACTACCTGCGGATAAATATGGTATCCAAACATGTGCCACTTCCGTATAGTACTTATCACCTGTTACTTCTTTAAATGTAAATTTTAGTTATTTCTAATACGTATAAAAATATTTAACATTTCTAAAACTTACCTTTAAAGTATTGTTTTATTAAATTAGCCAACAAATTCAAACCAATAACTATTGCCAATTGTCCGAGTCCAATTAACCAACTCTTTTGCATAACATTCGTTTTAAATTTATTAAAACTAGCCAATGTTATGAAAAGACCCCAACCGGGTCCAAAAGAATATATACTATAAATTGGCATAGATATAAGACTATTTGTAAAATTTACCCAAGAGGGTACGAAAACACTATAATATACTTTTCCAGAACCGGGTAAAAAGCTAAAGCGTATTAATAACACCGAAAGAAGTGCGAGCAATATCCAGATGGTGTAACGTATAATAGCACCAAACTGTAAAAGAATAATAAATTACATATTATTAAATCTTTCATACATCTGATATATTTTTTATGAATATGATCTTATATCAGTAATATAATTTTTGAAAAGGTCCCCAGTTCCCTCAATTTTGATCTGATCGTGGAAAACATAATTAAAGTTTTTGTTAGAGTATTTCAGATTAGTAAAACGACCTTAAATGCATATAAGGGTCATATAAATTCTAAAAAAAGTCAGAAATAGACCAAAACAATTGCTAACCAATTTTTAAAATATTTTTCTTTATAACCAAAAAATTACAACAATTTCCATTAAAAGCGAAAATAATGTTAAGATCAGCTTAAAATTAGGTAATATTTTAGGTCCATTAAAAAAATTTAGATATTTTTTTAACACAAATTATAATGGGGTCGAGTAGGGCCGTTCCAAATACTATACTAATATTCATCGATTGAGAGAGGTATTCCCAAATTAGATTCTTAAAAAGGTTTTACGCGATACTTCAATACATATTTTTACAGCTTGAAAATGCAGTTAATCGCGTCTGTCTTCGATCACATATAAAATTACAAGTAAGAATGTATTGTCGGGCATGGCCAAATGATATCCTACACGAGAGAAAATGTTATAAATGTGGAGTATTTTTTTTTTAAAATAAATCATTTAGTTTGTTTTTTACCGTAATTCCGAAATATTTTCACAATCTTTTGAAAAAAATAGATTTTTTCAAAGGGGTGCAAGGCTATATATGGGCCTACCACTAAAAATTTTGGTAGAGGGACTTATGTCCACATTAATGTTATTTATACAGAATTTCATCGTGACATTAGTGTTTATATGTGATATTTGACCATCAAGTCATTTTCTGAAGGGAAATTTGGGGGGTAGGGTCAATGAAGCCCGATCATTACGAAAATCGGCAGTGTCATTTAAAACTAATTTTTGGAGATTTTTGATGAGATTCTAGAACATTTAATATAATTATGAGCTCAAAGGCCCTATTCGGGGGGTACCGATGTATGGGGGCTAGGCGAATTAATGGACAGATTTTAACTAATTCCAATAAGCTTTATGGCCTCCGGTAGGTTAGTGGTTAGTCTAGGTGTATTTCTTCGGATTTGATGTATATACTTCCTCCTTTCAAATTAACTAACTAAACTAAACATTTTAACTAACTAACTAACTAACTAACTAACTAACTAACTAACTAACTAACTAACTAACTAACTAACTAACTAACTAACTAACTAACTAACTAACTAACTAACTAACTAACTAACTAACTAACTAACTAACTAACTAACTAACTAACTAACTAACTAACTAACTTACTAACTAACTAACTAACTAACTGACTAACTAATAAGTTTTTTTCTTGCATTAAAAGAAGAGTATGTGCGTATGTGAAGAGTATTTTCATCAAATTGAACCTGTAGCGTGCGCACAAGCTTCATATGGACACACAGACGGACATATCTAAATCGACACAGAATTCTGACTCGATTGGTATGCTTTACAAACATCAGCACAAACGCATAATACTCTCCTCACTATATTGGTGTGGGGTATAAAAAAGTTAATAATCGATTATTCGGTTTAAAGGATATTCTGAGTTGGCATATATGCCCCTATGGTGAATGATACCACTTCCTGGGCATGTAACCTTGATAATTTTCCGGGGAAAACCAATACCGTTAGTCTGTCGGGAAAATAAAAACTGATGATGTTAACTTTATTTTCGGAATTTCATTGAAATGATTTGGCCTGGGGTTGAAACAGGGAGCCTTATAATGATTAAGAGAGCGGTGCATGGTGAAATCTATATTTCTGAATAAGTTCATTGTTGTTGCCGAGACAATAGATACTCCGCTGAGGAGTGACTGTGGGATTAGGCGTTGAAAATAGGTTGATGTCAAGTGTATATGATACGGGGTGGTTGTAGTTCATACTCTGTTCGTATTACTAGAATTACTGGAACTTAGAGGTATTAAAGGCAATTTATTTCTTTTGTTCCATATTAGAGAAAATTTTAATTGTTTTTTTATTGTGTTTGTACGGTTTAAACTACTGTTTTGAATTAAGATTTAACTTACCCTTTCAGTATTGAAGAATTTATAAAAGAACAATATGACCAGAGTCCAAACTATAATGTCACATAATACCAATTGCCATGACATGGAAAAATCAACAAAACCGTAAGTATTTTCGAAAAAGGTTCTGTAAAAAAACAATAAACAAATTATTTAAATTTTATTATTTATCATCATTAAAAATTAACTTTAAATTGGTAGTTAGCATTAACCAAAGGTCTTTATTAAAACTCTTGTAGTAAATTAAAATTAAAGAAATTTAAAAGATTAAAGTTACATCTAACTATAAGTAGTACTAAAACTTATCTAGCTCCCTACTTGTAAGCGAGAGTGGTAAGCACTCGTTCCTATATAATTAGCGTGTTAAAGTTTTTGCTGGGTTATTATCATTTTGAATTAAATGTAAAAAACTTAACATTAACTTACTTGAAATACAAAGCTGAGGGTATGTAATTATTACCAGCGATTATTTTATCCGAATAGTGAGCATCATTGTCGTCTGGTACATATAAATTGCAAAGCTAAAAAATTAATATATTTCAAACATAATTATTTAAAATTAACGATAATATTTGTGCTAAAAATATTTGTTCTTACATTTATCTTCTCTTGTTTAGTAAAATTCATCGACCATTTTTCGTAATTTTCATAATTCCAGGGTAATGTTGGCTGCATAGAGGAAAACATATAGACTAGAGCTATCATGGCAAAAATACTATAAAAAGAAAGTACACAAATGTTTAACATCAGCGCAACATAGCCAATGCCTGAAATGAAAAGTTTTAAAACGATTTTGTTTAAAAATAGCTACTTTTTCGAATGAAATTTAACAAACCCTTATAGAGAGGTGTTAAACGAAATGCTGAGATATAACCACTACTAGAAAATTGACCCAAAAATGATTGCAATACAATAAATGGTACTATATAGAAAAATAAACCCAGTAAACATTCGGGCATAAAGTAAATAACTGGAAAAGAATTAGAAGATAAATATGAAATGTTATTAAAATTTTAATGATATAAAAAATCCAGACTTACCATTCGCATCTATCAAATAGATTCTTGACAATGAAAAGACATCAAAACGAAATGCCAAACCTAAGCCGGCATAGATAAAATCATTCGGATTGGCCCAATGACCACGCTTAGTATCGGGTATAAAGCGACTAGGTTGGCCATGATCATGCAACATTTTCGAAATTAAACAAATTGAGTTTCGTTTCTCTCAGATGTTTGAATCTACAAGTAGGCTTATAATCACTTGAATTGCTAATTTGTGAATTTCGGATGAGTTCCGAAATTCATAGTCTTTTTGAATCGATATTTTGCCTTCTTACCAACAGGATTTGTATATTTATGCCAAATTTTATTCTCATATATCGAGTATTAAAGCGATTTTCAGAAATGCACATTTCGGCTTATAAATATATAACTTAGTTGTGCCGATTTTTGGATAGTAGTATATTTGAAACAGTTATGACCTAAGAACTCCAAATCTGAAGTTAGCTAGTTCGTTAGTAGTTAGATAGTTAGTTAGTTAGTTAGTTAGTTAGTTAGTTAGTTAGTTAGTTAGTTAGTTAGTTAGTTAGTAGTTAGTTAGTTAGTTAGTTAGTTAGTTAGTTAGTTAGTTAGTTAGTTAGTTAGTTAGTTAGTAGTTAGTTAGTTAGTTAGTTAGTTAGTTAGTTAGTTAGTAGTTAGTTAGTTAGTTAGTTAGTTAGTTAGTTAGTTAGTTAGTTAGTTAGTTAGTTAGTTAGTTAGTTAGTTAGTTAGTTAGTTAGTTAGTTAGTTAGTTAGTTAGTTAGTTAGTTAGTTAGTTAGTTAGTTAGTTAGTTAGTTAGTTAGTTAGTTAGTTAGTTAGTTAGTTAGTTAGTTAGTTAGTTAGTTAGTTAGTTAGTTAGTTAGTTAGTTAGTAGTTAGTTAGTTAGTTAGTTAGTTAGTTAGTTAGTTAGTTAGTTAGTTAGTTAGTTAGTTAGTTAGTTAGTTAGTTAGTTAGTTAGTTAGTTAGTTAGTTAGTTAGTTAGTTAGTTAGTTAGTTAGTTAGTTAGTTAGTTAGTTAGTTAGTTAGTTAGTTAGTTAGTTAGTTAGTTAGTTAGTTAGTTAGTTAGTTAGTTAGTTAGTTAGTTAGTTAGTTAGTTAGTTAGTTAGTTAGTTAGTTAGTTAGTTAGTTAGTTAGTTAGTTAGTTAGTTAGTTAGTTAATTAATTAGTTAGTTAGTTAGCTAGTTACAAGATTCTACGAAATAAAATTTTTTACTTTTAAATTATTTTCTATTTTAAGTCCTTAACGACTTTTTTACTTTAAGTTACGTGTAGGACCAATATTTTTCTGCATTACAAACATTAGCCACTATAGTGGTGTAGGGTATAAAAACTTGTAAACTATGATCAATTGGGCTAATGATATCACCTTGTATTCAGTACACCCACAGGCTTTGATGATGACCATAAAAGTTTCAGCACTAAAACTCTTACTTTTTAGTTCGTTTATACAACATTGAATAATAAAATCGTGCTTTCTTTGGTACAACAACAATCGAGATAAGTACCACGATATTGAGTATATTTATTTGTTAAAATATTATTAAATTCATTTCTTTAAAATGTAGTTTTAGATCACTTTTTTCCGAAAAGTTTTTTTATTTTTATAGTAAAGCGTTGTGAATAATTAAATACTTATCAATAACAAATAATTCAGCTAACTGAAAGGTACTAGATATTTGAAAAATATTTATAAGCAAATTGTAATATTTGTTAGAGCGAATACTAATAATTACAAAATACGTAAAAAAACAAAGAGAGAAATTGCACTTTTTTCACAGTCTCTAGTGCGCAAAATCAAAATAACTTAAAACTGTCGCTAGTGTTTGTGGTTGCAATTGTAATTAAGTTGTAATTGTTTAGAAATAGCACAAAGTGAAATGGGAAAAACAAAGGCAAAATAATATAGTATGCGAATATATTCGATTCCTAAACCTGCTACTATAAATATTTCTAACATTTCCCTAATTTTTTCGACGAAAAGTTAACGGCCTGGTAGTAATTTTTTCTGGACCAGAAAAGAAAGAAATCATTTATTGTTATAGAAAAAAGTAGAGGGAAATAGATCTGTTACTTCTAATCTGTTAGCCTAATTTGAATAAAACACTTAAAGAAGAAGTTGATAGAGTTTTGAATTTGGACCTCATGAGCATACCAGGGCCGCGACCGATGATCGCCAAAGTAGGACACAAGCGATGAAATGGTATCGTTTAAACTTCCCGAGGTTTCCTACTTTAACTCGACAAATGTGAAATATTATTCAAATCGATATAACCGTTTAGAAGTTACCGATTAATTTCTCTTTATTTTTATTTTATATGCCACTGTGCAGCATTATATTATTGCAATATGGCGTCAAATAGGCGCCAGTATTTTGTATACTTGCTTGAGGATTCAAACTATTTTATTTATTATTTAATATTGATTTTTTTTTCTCTAAAAAAAACTTCATTTTATTTTTATTTATTTATTATATATTTTTTTAAGTTTTTCAAAAAATTTAATATTTAAATTATATACTTGTTTTTTAAACAATTCTTTCATATTAGTTAAAACGATGAATTTGTCCAACAAGTTTTAACACTATACACACTACATCCAAAATCTGTAAAAATTTTAATAAATTTTTTAATATATTCCAGTTAATATAATTATTTTTATTTATTTATTGTTATCCTTTTTACTTGTAAATAAAATACAAATTGCGTGACAAATTTAGTGTGAGGACGTCATCCTGTGTTTTTATCAACTGTTTCAAATAGGGATGCCGTCTGCATTTAAAATTAACAAGAATGTATTTCAGTTTATTGCATTACCCAGCAAGCACTTTTTTGCAATTTAAAATTGAATAATAAAAGGAAGTCGGTTATGGCCGAATATATATTAAATTATAATGTTTAATAATTTCCTTGTCCACATTCGATTTGAACCCATTTTGAAAAGAAGAGGGGAAAATGAAAATGGTGCATGTGGCCAATACTGAAAAATTAAGCGACTATAAAGCTCTTAATAGTATAGTTAGTTAGTTAGATAGATAGATAGATAGATAGATGATAGATAGATAGATAGATAGAGAGATAGATAGATAGATAGATAGATAGATAGATAGATAGATAGATAGATAGATAGATAGATAGATAGATAGATAGATAGAGATAGATAGATAGATAGATAGAATAGATAGATAGATAGATAGATAGATAGATAGATAAAGATAGATAGATAGTATAGATAGATAGATAGATAGATAGATCGTAGATAGATAGATAGATAGATAGATAGATAGATAGATAGAAGATAGATAGATAGATAGATAGATAGATAGATAGATAGATAGATAGATAGATAGATAGATAGATAGATAGTAGATAGATAGATAGATAGATAGATAGATAGATAGATAGATAGATAGATAGATCGATAGATAGATAGATAGATAGATAGATAGATAGATAGATAGATAGATAGATAGATAGATAGATAGATAGATAGATAGATAGATAGATAGATAGATAGATAGATAGATAGATAGATAGATAGATAGATAGATAGATCGATAGATAGATCGATAGATAGCTAGATAGATCGATAGATAGATAGATAGATAGATAGATAGATAGATAGATAGATAGATAGATAGATAGATAGATAGATAGATAGATAGATAGATAGATAGATAGAATAGATAGATAGATAGATAGATAGATAGATAGATAGATAGATAGATAGATAGATAGATAGATAGATAGATAGATAGATAGATAGATAGATAGATAGATAGATAGATAGATAGATAGATAGATAGATAGATAGATAGATAGATAGATAGATAGATAGATAGATAGATAGATAGATAGATAGATAGATAGATAGATAGATAGATAGATAGATAGATAGATAGATAGATAGATAGATAGATAGATAGATAGATAGATAGATAGATAGATAGATAGATAGATAGATAGATAGATAGATAGATAGATAGATAGATAGATAGATAGATAGATAGATAGATAGATAGATAGATAGATAGATAGATAGGTAGATAGATAGATAGTCTTTTGAAACTTTTTAAAACTTTAAAATCGGCTATTCAACAAGCGAAAATTCAACCGCAAATAAAAGCGATACCGGCCAACACAGATGAGGTTCCATGTGCACGCCAAGAAGGAAAAAGGAACAGGGGATCGATGTCAAAATCACCTGATAGCGAAAAGCAGCCTAAAAAACGTATAGCTATGGAGACTCCGAGATCAACACAACCTCAAGTTGTCGAGAAAGAAGAAGCTTATAAAAACGAGAAAGAAAAGGCCTACAAAAACAGTGAAGAAAACGGCTGGAAAACTGTGAAGCATCGGAAGGAGAAAAGGAAGAAAGAAAAAACCAAAACGAAGATAAGGTTTGACCAAGGAGAAGCATTGACAATAAAGGCAAATACTGATGCTACTTACGCTGATGTGCTGAAAGAAATGAAGAAGAATATTGACCCCAGTAAAATCGGTGTAGATATAAAAACAATGAGAAGAACAATAAATGGCGATATCCTAATTAAATTCAACAAAGGCGAGGGACAGGCAGAAAAATTAACGCGTGCTATTGGAAACACATTGGGAAACAATGTCACAATTAAAACGGTTAAAAAGAACTGCATAGTCGACATAAGAGACATGGACGAATCAACAGAGCAGGAGGATATTATAAGTGCACTCAAAACTGTGACAGACATGGTGCTCACTGATATTAAAATCCTCAATGTTAGAGAATCCTTCGGAAAGACCAAGCAAGCCTTGGTTCAAATCCAGGAGGATGCTGCCGCTATCCTTTTAAGAAACAACAAAATTCGAATAGGATGGGTGATGTGCAGAGTGAGAAAAAAGGATAAAGCTATACAATGCTTCAAATGCCTAGATCAAGGTCATATGGCAAAGTCTTGCAATGGTGTAGATAGAACAAATATCTGCAGAAAATGCTGCAATTCCGGTCACAAATTTAAAGACTGTAAAGAAGAAATGAGGTGCATCATATGCCAAGAAGAGGGTTTAAAGAATACAAAACACTACATAGGCAGTATGTTCTGCATAAACAATAGAAGAGAAAACCAACGAAATGACTAGAAAGTTTCTTCAGATAAACCTTGGTCGAGGAAGAGAAGCACAAGATCTTATGATGCAGAAGGCAGCAGAAGACGATATAGATTGGAGGAGATTTCAATAGTAAATCCCCTGAATGGAGCTGTAATATACTAGACAATAGGGGTGCAACAGTGAGCGAGATGATTGGCAGTCTCGGTCTTACTGTATTCAACGAAGGTCAAAAATATACTTTTAGGAGACCTCCGGGAGGAAGTATAATTGACATTACATTTGGAACAACCAATTTTTATAATGACAACATGAATTGGATGGTACTTGAAGATTTTACACTAAGTGACCACCAATACATTACATTTTGCATTGACGATAATTCTGCTTTAGCACAAAACGATATAAGTCTTCCTAAGTGGAATGTTAGGAAACTTAAAGAGGATAAATTAGTTGACTATATACTTAGAATAAAAGCGAGAAATTTAAGAACCCCAATAGAAGACAATGTTCAGTGTGCCGTAAAATCACTGACTGATATAATAACAAAGGCTTGTAATGTAGGAATGACGAGAGTCCAACCATACCGAAGCAAACCGTCCGTGTACTGGTGGAACGATGAAGTGCGAGAGCTAAGGAGAAGGTGTTTAATAGCACGCAGAGAAACTACGAGAAACCATGACGATCTCACTCTTAAATTAGAATACAGAAGATGTCGTAAAGTGTTGAGAAAAGCCATTAAAAAGAGCAAAAGAAGATGCTGGCTAGAACTCTGTAATGAAATTGATTCAGATCCCTGGGGTAAACCCTATCAGATAGTCAGAAAAACACTAGGTGTCATAAAACCTATACCTGGAATCAAAGAACCAGAGTGGGCAAATAAAATAGTCGAAACACTCTTCCCACTTGACAAAGACAAGAAGAGTAGAGAAGAAGCATTACAACAACCAAATGGTTTCTACCCTCTAAGTGAAGAGGAACTAAAAATAGCAGCAAAAAAGCTAAAAGTTGGGAAATGTCCCGGGCCAGATGGCATTCCAAATATAGTTTTAAAATTAGTAAGCGAAACCTGGCCTGATTTGTTACTACGCACGTTTAACTTATGCCTAGCAACAGGAAAATTCCCCGCGAAGTGGAAAATACAGAAACTTGTTCTCCTGCGAAAAGGAGACAAAGCATTAAACGAACCAAGCTCATACAGACCTTTATGCATGCTTGATTCACTAGGAAAACTATTTGAGAGCTTAATACTCAACAGACTTACAAAACGTATAGATGAACTTGGCGGCTTATCACGTAATCAGTATGGCTTCAGAAAGGGAAGATGTACTGTTGATGCCATTAATGACGTTGTAAAAACAGCGATGGAATCTAAATTCGCAAAAGGTTTCTGTGCTATAATAACCTTAGATGTTAAAAATGCCTTTAACACGGCCAAATGGAGAGTGATATTAGAAGCTCTCAAACACAAAGGGGTGCATGATTATATGCACACAATTATAGCGGACTACTTGGATAACAGAATCCTACTGTATGATACAGATGATGGACAAAAAACCTACCAAATAACAGCCGGTGTTCCACAGGGGTCAGTACTGGGCCCTTTCTTGTGGAATGCCATGTATGACGGCCTGTTAAATATGAAATTACAAAATGTCGCCAAACTTATAGGATATGCAGATGATATTGCATTGGTCGTATCACAGCCTACGGCTGAACTCATAGAAATAGTCACGAATGATAGTCTAAACCGGTGTAATACGTGGTTGACAAAAGCCGGACTACAGTTAGCAGCAACAAAGACAGAAGCTATACTTGTTACAGTAAGGAGGAGTTTCGTTACCCCGAGGATCAGGCTGCAAGAAAATGATATAGTTTTTAAACGTAACCTATGTTACCTTGGTATACAGTTAGATGACAAGTTATGCTTTAAACAACACATCACTAATGTTAGAGACAAAACTATAAAAACCGCAGCATCACTGGCCAGAATAATGCCAAACCGTGGTGGCCCAAAGCCATACACAAGAAAACTAATAAATAGTGTCGTCCATTCACAAATTCTGTATGCAGCCCCAACATTTGCAACAGTGATGGACAAAAACTGTAGAGTAAGAGAGCTACAAAAACCACAAAGAATCAGCGCGCTAAGAATTATTTCGGCATATCGCACAGTACCAACATCAGCAGCTCTGGTGATTGCTGGGCTCTTACCTATCGACCTTCAAATAATAGAAAAAGATGAAATATACAAGGAGTTAAACATAATTCAATCCAGCGATATGAACCAAGCAGAAAAACGAAAACGAGAAGTGGAGATAAAAAATAACGCTAGAACACGAATGCTGAATATGTGGCAGCAAAGATGGTCACATGAGACAACGGGAAGATATACCTACAATCTGATACCAAACATCAAAGAATGGATCGAAAGATCTCATGGAAATGTTAGTTATTACATGACCCAATTCTTGACAAACCATGGAGCCTTCAACCAGTATTTATACAGGTTTAATTTGAGAAGCAGTGCCAGTTGTGAGGCATGTGGAGCATATGAAGAAACGTCAAAACACGTACTATTTGAATGCCCAAAGTGGATAAATGAAAGAAGGGCATTAAGCTCTAAGTTATGTGAGATGATTTCAGCAGATAATATAATAAGAATTATGCTGAAATCGAAGCAAGAGTGGAATCATTGTGAAAACTATATTAATGCAGTTATCAAGAAAAGATGCTTGAGAGTTCCGAACCTCCTACAATAGGAGGATGTAGGAATGAAAAAGAAAAAAAAACTAAAGAAGAAAATAAACTTAAACCACCCACCCTGATGAAATGCTGACGCGGTGCCGGGGTGGATTGGAGATGTCGTGGGGCCACTAGATGATAGGTTACTATCACTACGTCCAAAAAAAAAAAAAAAAAAAAAAAAAAGATAGTCTTTTGAAGGTAACTTTTGTGCTATTTCACTGGGGACGAAAAGTACTAAAAAGGATAAACACGGGAAATAGTTTTATACAAACTCATTAAACCAATTTTTATAAAATTAGAATGAATAGTTCATTTACTCACGCAAAATAAGCTATTGATGTGTTTTTTTGTAATTCGGTTACTAATGCCTATATACTTAGGACTAAATTCGAGTAAATAAAAACATTACTTTTACTTAAGCAAATTAATGCAGAACGCTTGTAGGGTACTAAAATAATATACATAACTGGCTAACAAAATTTCATGTCGCAGAATCAGTGTTGCCCAGCTTTATTATTTTGACAAATGATATAGGAAATGTTACCAAAAATGTGATGAGTCATTGATTTTAGTACAAGAAGTTTTATTTCAAAAACAAATTACTGCCAGGCGACAGTGAGACATTTGGCACTTTTAGTACGACAGTAATTAAATCTTAGAGATATTGAGTTCTTATTTTAGTAGCAGTTAGCACACATTTGACCAAACTTGCCACATACAAATTTGCAAAAAAAAAAACAGCTGCCACGCCTATTTTTACAAGTATATGTACATTGAATAAAAGTTTTATTTTTGATCACAGATATCTCAAAACCTTTGCTACCGATTATCAACTTTAATATATTTTTAGATTTCGATTACAGATTACAAAGTTAAGAGGTTAATGTTATCCGATTTATGTATGTATCTCAAATGCTTAACATCTGACATAATTTCATTCTTCTTCGAGGTATGTATTTGTTTTTACCAACACATATTTTCCATGAAAATGAGCACACAGCAGGCCCGATAATGGCCGTTTTACTTTAATATTTACACAAATTGTAATTTATTAAATTACACTCTCCAACTATAATTAAAATAAAATTAACAAAAAAGTTCGTACGTATAAAAATATATAAGTTTTTGTTAAATTATAAAGCTATTAAAAAAGAAATCTCCAAATCACAATTATAGCACATTGTTGGTAATCTCACTAAGTTGATGAGTTATATCCGTATTACCCATTGCTTCTTCATAACGTTGACGTTCCTCTTGTTCAACCGGATACCAATCGTTTGGTCTGCAGCAACGTTGGAAACGCGTTCTAAATGAACCCATACTTTGACGCATGATATAGACAGCATAGCCCGGTATGAAAAGCC